GTGACGAGGGTGGGCCGACTGGTAGTCGGCCGACGTGCTTGTATGAACAACGCAACGTGACGACGCGCGCACAACGGGTCGTTTTCACTGACGATCCGTTTAGACTGCCACCTACAATGGGCAGACGGCTTCGTGTCGCCTACCGATCACAGAGAACGGAGTTGAATTCGTCGTGCAACGGTCGTTATGACCGTCATACGACTTATAGGGGTAACGTTAGTAGAACTGTCCATTAACATCATCTGCTTCATCATCATTTTGCTAAAGCGCAGGGCTTATTTTCATACAATTTAAATTTTTTTCTTAAATATCTTCTTTCCTATTTTCGACGCTGGTTTGAGAATATAATGGCTTCCATCCTTTGTGTGCAAATTTGTATATCTTGAGCGCATCTAGCTCGGAGACCTCCAGAGATTCTTGGATTAACTTCATTGACATGTCTATTAAAAGAGCGCCATCTATACCTTGATTAATTATATTCTTCTCGCATGCAACATTCAGTTTTAGTGATTTCATACTTTCGATAAGTTGATCAATACTTAGACCAGAAGTGATTTTTTCGTAATATCTGCTGCTGGGTGTGGTTTTGACATCATGCATCCCACTACCATATTTGTGTGCCCAACAGAAACGTCCTGGGTTAAGGCAATACCCCCCTACTGGGTAGGCGTAATTCTCGGCAGCCATGTAAGTATCCTCCAAATCAGTATCGTTATCCAAGTCTGCATTGCCTTTAGCAGACATGACTTCATAACTATCTGTACTACTACTATACCTATTTTCTGAATCAATATCAGCACGTGTTTGGTAAGAGGTTGGCGGGATTGGAACTCTCGGCGGTATTGGTGGGGGTCGAGGAGGATTTCTTGGTAATGTCTTACTTTCGGTGTACTTCTGAGTATGGTCATTTCTAGGTAATGGCATTGCAGGTCGGCAATCTATATTACATTGAAATTCTTTAAAACGACGATCAGAATTTACAATTCCAACGTCACATAAGTTTCCGGCAGAAATGCTATGTTTTGGAATCGGAAGTGGATCAGCTGGATAACGCCGTTTGATGGTTGCGATTTTAGACGGAGAAATCATAGATGGATTTCTAACAATTGAAATGCACTTTTTTTCTCTTACATCAGTGTCACTCTTGGCAGATAGCAGCTTCGAACGTGGTTTGAATCCTAACCACCTTTTCTTTCCTTTAGGTCTCTGATAAAAAAAAATTAATAGAAATATGTTTTAATTAGTATATTATTTTGGGATTGTAATAGGTATAAGTTTAGCATTTCTTTTGTTACCATCTTCCTTTTACAGTCCTGTATAATGTTCTACTATTTTGTATTCATTCCTCATTTATTTCAGAATTTTGTATCCATAGTATAAAGCACAACAATATGCAATAATAATATAAATTATTACACTCGAGTTATCCTAAGTTATTGAAAGAGATGCAGTTATTACAGAGCAAAAATTCTACTGCTAATACATTCTTGACAAAAGAGTGGTGTACCTCTTTATTAGGCCAAAAAAGCGTTTGTTTGCCCTCGTCCACCCGCCACTAATTCACTGAAAAAAACAGGGGCGGAAAAACAAAAAATAACTTAAATCGCCAAATACAAGACTTTAAATAAAGGCTAGATAAATAGTAACAAAATCGGGACAAAAGGAAAATCATCTCTATCAAGCAAACTTTAGAGAACGACTTCAGAGCGGAGAAGATGAAGATTCACTCTGCTTAAAACAAGTGGGGTTATATTCCTTCGGGAAACAGTACTCGGGAAGGGAATTCCACAAAGCCATGGCTCTGGGGAAAAAAGCTCCTTTCAAATTGCTTGGTTCTGCACTTCGGCTTTGACAGAGTAAAGTGATGAGAAGCACGTGAAAGCCTAGTGACACAGCCAAATGAATTGTATGGTGGAACGAGATCAGATAAACCAGATGAACAAAATCCAAAAACATATCGATAAAATATTAAACAAAGGGAGGTGACTGCAATAATAATATAAATTATTACACTCGAGTTATCCTAAGTTATTGAAAGAGATGCAGTTATTACAGTTTCTACTGCTAATACATTCTTGACAAAAGAGTGGTGTACCTCTTTATTAGGCCAAAAAAAAAAGTTTGTTTGCCCTCCTCCACCCGCCACTAATTCACTGAAAAAAACAGGGGCGGAAAAACAAAAATAACTTAAATCGCCAAATACAAGACTTTAAAAAAAGGCTAGATAAATAGTAACAAAATCGGGACAAAAGGAAAATCATCTCTATCAAGCAAACTTTAGAGAACGACTTCAGAGCGGAGAAGATGAAGATTCACTCTGCTTGAAACAAGTGGGGTTATATTCCTCCGGGAAACAGTCCTCGGGAAGGGAATTCCACAACGCCATGGCTCTGGGGAAAAAAGCTCCTTTCAAATTGCTTGGTTCCGCACATCGGCTTTGACAGAGTAAAGTGATGAGAAGCACGCGAAAGCCTAGTGACACAGCCAAATAAATTGAATGGTGGTACGAGATCAGATAAACCAGATGAACAAAATCCAAAAACATATCGATAAACTATTAAACAAAGGGAGGTGACTGCAATAATAATATAAATTATTACACTCGAGTTATCCTAAGTTATTGAAAGAGATGCAGTTATTACAGTTTCTACTGCTAATTCATTCTTGACAAAAGAGTGGTGTACCTCTTTATTATCGATTAAATTTATTATTTAATAAATAATTATTATTATTTATCGATAAAATATTAAACAAATTGAGGTGATTGCTCTTCTGTGAGCAAGAGGGTATAATGTTAAACCCATCTCTTCTCGAATCAGATTGACAAATCTCTTCTGAACCTTGTCCAAAGTATTGAGATAATGCTACTTGAAAAAAATAAGCCAATGAATGATTAGAATAAATGTTTCAGATTTAAAAATGAGGATTGATGAAAGTGAAAGTATAAAGTTCAAAAGGAATTGTCTACAACAAAATAAATTGCCTAATATGCACAGAGATCTTAAAAGACATTATCAAATATTAATCGTTTTTTGTAAGCACCATTATAAAAATGGTTAGAAATAAAGCAATAGAATTTTATTTGATCTATTTTGCTAATTGGAAGTCGATTGGGTTGTTTCAGTTGGTGAAATATATTTAAAAACATATTGGAGCTTATTCACTTGTTATAATACTAAGTTCCACTTGTTATAGTTTGACGTAACTAAAGCATTTCGAAACCTGTGAAATGTTGCTATTTATCCTAATACAGTATTCAAATAGGATGTGATCTTCTCTAGAAGATAGGCTACTATTAATTAAAAGATTACCAGCACTAAAGCTTGAATCAGTTGAAGTTGATTTTATATTTAAAGAGTCAATAATAAAACAAAGAATTCATAATTGGCTGTCGATTTAAATATTGTTTGAAGGTTTGCATGGTGAAGTAATAATATATTAAATGTGTTTGCAGTACAACACGTAGATAGTTCTGAAAAGTTCTCAACAAAACAATAGTTTAGTTTTTTTTCAGAGCTATCTATGTGGTGTATCGCAAGCATTTAATATATAGACTTCTATATTGTTTTAAGTTTTGATGACATAGGAACCAATAATTCAAAATTAATTTTTCTTATGGTAAATATAATAAAAATACAACAACTTTTGAATTTTAATTGATTGCCGTATCTGTGCATGTTGATCGACTAACATTTTGAAATTCTTAAAATTTTCAAATAGTCTTGTTTATCTTTCCATCACTAGATGGCGCTTTGCAAATACAGAATGTACGTACGTTAAACAACATGTATACTGTACAACATGTATACGTTTTAGTTTCTTACCTTTTTTGTATTGAGTTTGGAGCCTTTGTTTTCTTCCATAGTGTGAGAATCAGAATTTTCTGAGCTTTCAGTATTCCCCTGGAATGTATTAAGCACAATTGTTTTGTTATACAAACTGTTACTGTTAACGTTTCTTAGGCCTGCAGATCCATAGGCCGATCTGATTACATTTCGCAAGTGTCTTTCTATTATAGTATTTTTGTTAGCTCATTATCAATAATCAACAATCAACATCAACAATATACCGTAAATATATATATACATGTATATATATATATATAGTAGTAGTAGTAGTAGTAGTAGTAGTAGTAGTAGTAGTAGTAGTAGTAGTAGTAGTAGTAGTAGTAGTAGTAGTAGTAGTAGTAGTAGTAGTAGTAGTAGTAGTAGTAGTAGTAGTAGTAGTAGTAGTAGTAGTAGTAGTAGTAGTAGTAGTAGTAGTAGTAGTAGTAGTAGTAGTAGTAGTAGTAGTAGTAGTAGTAGTAGTAGTAGTAGTAGTAGTAGTAGTAGTAGTAGTAGTAGTAGTAGTAGTAGTAGTAGTAGTAGTAGTAGTAGTAGTAGTAGTAGTAGTAGTAGTAGTAGTAGTAGTAGTAGTAGTAGTAGTAGTAGTAGTAGTAGTAGTAGTAGTAGTAGTAGTAGTAGTAGTAGTAGTAGTAGTAGTAGTAGTAGTAGTAGTAGTAGTAGTAGTAGTAGTAGTAGTAGTAGTAGTAGTAGTAGTAGTAGTAGTAGTAGTAGTAGTAGTAGTAGTAGTAGTAGTAGTAGTAGTAGTAGTAGTAGTAGTAGTAGTAGTAGTAGTAGTAGTAGTAGTAGTAGTAGTAGTAGTAGTAGTAGTAGTAGTAGTAGTAGTAGTAGTAGTAGTAGTAGTAGTAGTAGTAGTAGTAGTAGTAGTAGTAGTAGTAGTAGTAGTAGTAGTAGTAGTAGTAGTAGTAGTAGTAGTAGTAGTAGTAGTAGTAGTAGTAGTAGTAGTAGTAGTAGTAGTAGTAGTAGTAGTAGTAGTAGTAGTAGTAGTAGTAGTAGTAGTAGTAGTAGTAGTAGTAGTAGTAGTAGTAGTAGTAGTAGTAGTAGTAGTAGTAGTAGTAGTAGTAGTAGTAGTAGTAGTAGTAGTAGTAGTAGTAGTAATAGTAGTAGTAGCAGCAGCAGCAGGACTAGTAGCAGTAGCAGGACTAGTAGCAGTTAGTAGTACTGTTCGCCCTTCAATTCGCAAGACTGCACTTTGGGACCTGAGAAGTTGCGGTGGTCTTGGAGTTCGGTCTCCACTTAGAGGGTTAGGAGGTCATTTAGTTCGAATTGGAGGGGTCTCGGATTAGAGGGGTCTCGAATGGAAGTTTGAAAGAGGAAAGTATTGGTTAGCGAAACAATTTATTAACTGATATTTGAAATGACTTTTGCATCAGGAACCACAATAGGAACTAAATCTAGGCCTATAAAATAAATACAAAAATTATTAGCAGTTTATTATTTATAAGTAACCGACGAATAATATAAATTCATGCACTATAATTAACATTAAAATAATTACAATAATGTTTGCGTTTATACAGCATAAAAAATTGACAGGGAAATTACCAAATGGTCGGAGAGTACCGGTATGTAAACTTTCAACACGAGGAGGCGGGGTTGGCTTTGCAATGACAGACTGTCTAGACTTAACATAATCTGAGAAAAATGTGCATAATTATTATTCCATACTTATGATCCTCTTCACTTGTAATAGTTTATAGGCTTTTTATTAATATTATACAATATAATCTTTATTCGTTTTTATATTTAGGAAATTACCAATGATAGTTCCGGATGGTCGTTTAGTTAGTTTGTGTGCGGCTGCCGTTGTTGCAGCTGGTTTACTCTGAGGATCATCAAATCTATACTTGTTGTATTTACCGTCTTCTGAGGCCAGAGATAATTTGGGAGATCGTATTGCAATGTTTCTTTGGCAAGTTTGGACCACTGGTCGAATTTGGTCCTCCTCGTAATATTCACCGGGAAACATTTTCGAGTTAATTCTCTGGGCATTATCAAACTGCTCTGAAAAAAGGTTTTTGTCAGAACGTATAATTTATGTTACATAGTTTCACTCTCACTTTTTCTTTCATTTTGAAGCTATTTGACTAATAGTTTTGATTCTCCAGTTAAAGTATGAATCTCTATTATTAAAGGTAGGCTATTTAGCAGTCTTAATGATAAGCTATACTTATTTAGTCGTATCCACGGCTTAGATTATCATGTTACAAACCAAGTGCTTATAGTAGTCTCAATATGATGAATGATTGCAGAAAAGAAAGAAGCCAGTTGTCAAAGACAGTGTTTCTATCATGAGATTGCTTTAATAAATTAGCAGACAACAAACTAGGCGGAAGCAATGATTTTTCTACAATAATAACAATTTTCCCAAACTACATTTAAATATTATGATTCCATAAAAGCAGTTAAGCATTATCAAGACGATATTTTCCAAATGTATTTTACTTAAAATGTGGCCAAAATAATACTTGTTTACCGTCCTTGTACCTACATTTTTTCTCGGAATGGAGGGAAGATTTCTTTTCTTGAAAAGCAATCCTAATTTTATTAACATTATGGAAATTTGACAAGATCTAGCATCAGTATAGTTAGTTGTCAGAGTTATTGGGGGCGGTTGGTGCAGTGGTTGCGCTTTGGTCTTTCAACTTTGAGGACGAAGGCTCGACTACTTGCTGTGAATTTCATTTGTGTCCTTTGGCAAGGCGCTTTTCTTGAGATGTTGAATAAGTTGGTACCTACTGGTAGGATGATTTGGCATTGAGTGTAGGCCTGCTAGTCTGTATCGGCATTAAATTGCAAGGAAAAGTGAAATACTCCCAGAAAAGTGGAGGAAATTTCACGTTGTGCTGGTTTGCTAATTATGTGCCCAGTGACCAGGGGTAATAATCACAACATCCCAGCGCCTTGTATCCCTTTGGTAAAAGGTGAGGTATAAATCCCTATATTATTATTTATTATCATGTTTTAATGCTGACTTCGATAGACATCAACTTTTTGAGCAGTTTTGTATTGTTTGTATTAATGCTTTTCAAATAACTATGGAAAATTCAAGAATCAAATTAAAATTTCAGAAAATAAAAAGGAATTTAAGAAATAAAAAGCTGGAGTCTGGTGAGGACGCTAAACAAGTATTTCTTTTTGCCTTATCTATAAACGATCTATCCATTGAATACCGGTACATTTTATAAACGAAATGTTTAATGTTTTTGTATTAGCTTACGCCAATAATAATATAAATAATTTCATCTTTACATTAACAATGTTTATTTTATTTGCACTTACCTTGAGTTAAGTTCCTAAATTTATATTCAGAGGCATAGGGATTGTCTTGATTTGACATTTCCATAATTGGAACCGTGCGGTCTAGCGTAGTTCGCCTCGGTAAAATAGGCGATGCACAATATATGTCCTCTTTTTTAGTTTCCACTACTAAAGGTGGGTAATCAAATTTCAATAGTCGAATGACATCTACATTACTCAATGTAAACTTTGGACCAAATTCTTCTACTGCTTTAATTCCATCCCGCTTACCAGTGATTAGAGCCTCACTAACATAAAATTGCAAATTAGCTAAGCGCGAAAAAAGAACAATTTTGTGCTCTCCGTAATTATACGAGCATCCTACGTAGTATTCCTGTGAATATTTCTTCTCGATTATAATTGGGTGTGTTATGTTTTTGATACGAGATAAAAATTCAGGTTCGTGACTATAGGGGGCGCCAGCTATCCGAAGTTTTACTGGAAGGCAATACTTGTGAATTATTTCCTTCATAGTATATGTATTCAAATCAGGAACAAGTTCAAAATCTCCAATCGTGTCTTGAGTTAATGTAAAGGTGATATTTTCTCTGAAAATGCAACTGTTGAAACAAGTACAATTAAAGAGATGGTAAATATTATGTATTTATAAATATATATATATACATATATATATATATATGTGTGTGTGTGTGTGTACTCAACAACAAGAATAGCAATAATCATAAAAAGAAAAAAGGAGAATTGAGAAAAAGGTTATTACACACCTCAACAGTGGTCGTATTCCGTCACTAAATGCGCATCGTCGAACCCCTTGTATTGTTATAACCTCTCCACTTTCCACTTTAAGCATATCTACCAGTTTTGAAACGTGTCTTAGTTTTGACATAACACGAACTTGATGGGGCTTTATTTTTATTAGATCAGCTACTGTGTAAAATCTCTTAGAAAATTCATTAACGACATTGAAACATCCATTATAACTCACTGGTACATAGAAACAGTGTTTAAGATTGGTTGAATCAGTTTTAACAAAATTTGGAATGGTCACTTTTACAACATCCAAACGCCAACGATAGTGCAGTACAAGTAGATCTATATCAAGTTTACTTGGTGATTTTGCATCAGGTTTTACAATTCCTACTAGATTAGGAAGAGCCGGATCTTTTTCGAATAGTTCTTGTGTGCTTAGCTGTATATCATATCTCATTTCTTCAATATCCATCTTTTTATCTATAAACAGCTTTACGCGTGGTGGAAACATACTGTTATTCGTGTCACTTTTGTTAAATTTGTATATATTTTATTGTTTATACAACATGCATGACTGTTTCCTGGTTTCAGTTTAGAGTGAAATTACTTTCGTTAACACTGTGGGCACGCTATTCTTATTTTGTTCGGATTTCCAGCTTTCCTCTGAAATCAGAACTATTGTTAAAATAAATGCTTCTAAAGAAATACCTTTTAAATCATCGACCTTTATACGATCATCTAGATGAAAAAGACAGATAAAACAATACAACTTGACTTGATATTGCACTATTCATTAGAAATTGAAAATTTTCTTAAAGAGAATATGTTTCTGGTACAAATTAAATTTTTATTTGATTTTTTGTGTTTGTTTAGAGAAACACATTTTCAAAGAATGACGTATTCCTAATCTTCGTGAACTCACTGATTTTCCAATCCAATTCAATTCAAATTCATACTTCTGCCGAATCTATAACTGCAACCAGCCTGCAAAGAATTCCAGAGGGCTTTAGCTCAATTTGTCTTGACATATCACATTACTACCGATCATTTAATAACTCTTCAAATTACTGTACCTAAGATAATTTGCACAAACTAATTTAATTCAAAAAGGAAGGAGTATTAATAAATAGAAGCTAACCATAATCCGGAAAGTGAAACAAACAATCAGCTAATTTATCATGTAGGCCTATTCGACTTGATAAAATAGAAACTGATTCACAATGCGATACATTTTTAATAACAATACTGAAATAAAAACAACTAGGCTTAGATCTAAAAGAATCCCAAATTTCTCTCCATAAAAATTGCTACCAAATGATAAAGAATAAATCAAAAGCAATAATTCGGGATGTATGGCCGATTTTAACATTAAAAAAATGTTGTTTTTTTATTTTTTATAACTACATTACCGTATTTATTCGAATAAACGCCCCGCTTTGAATAAACGCACTTTCGAAAGGTTTTTAGCGACGCCTGACTACGCCCACTTTTTTCTCGTCGGGGACCTTAAACCCCCCCCCCCCTTTTTTCGGGGAAATCCTGTCGCCGCCACTGGTCCAGCCACAGGCCTGGCCACCATGGCCAATGGGATGAAAACGTTTTAAAGACTGGAGGAAGGGGATGCTACGTCCGATATCAAGCAATTTGTTTTACTGCAGGAGCCAGGCTTTAAAGACCACCCAATCGTAGACCACTCTTCTGTGGTCCCATATGATCGCCTGCCCCATCCCCGGTCGCAGTGCCGGATTAACCATTAGGCAAATAAGGCACAAGCCTTGTGGGCCAGGCGAAAATGATGGGCCATCAAAAGTTGGACTGCAATATTATTTACACTCTATTTTCCGGTATTATAAGGCCAGAAAACTCGGACACATTCTACTGTTAGAGTTGTGGCAGAGTAACGCTTCTCTCCGACACGAAAGATGTTGCAATCACGGTAGCTGGGGTTTTTACATTTCGTAATTATTACCATGGGGTCCATTCAATTAACATTTTTGGGCCATTTCCAAAATGTGCCTTGAGGCCAGACGATGCTTAATCCGGCACTGCCCGGTCGGGGAGAAAAAACACTTTCGTCGGGGAAAAATGTAGGCCATATGTATATTCTATATAGGCCTATTATAGACTCTAAATTTGATTAAATAAGCCTTTAGAACAGTGGCTTCGCCAGGGGGCAGGGCGTATGCTCTCACTGGGCAGGTCAAGCACCCCCTCCCCCACGTCTGGCCCCGATCTATAAGGGCCCCGCCCTTTATAAAATAGAAATAATAAAGCAATGGACAAATAAATGTCTAGATTAATAGTATTGATTTATATATAATACTGCACAATGTAATAACTGTTAAAATTAATCATTTAATAGGACCCTATGCATAGTTGTAAAATTTCTCGAACACTGCATGGAAATCTACAGTGAAAGAGAGATGGTACTACAATTAGGGATCGGTGCAACAACATTAAAAGTTTTTGAGTTTGGAGTAGGCCTATCCATGTCGATAAAAATCAATTAATTTCGTTAAAAACGAGAGGGGGATGGGTGGCCATGCCATAATACATTTGTACATTGAACATGAAATCACAAGGTCGAAGTGTCTTTATGACAGTTTTTGTGATCAAAATGTTGTTTTATAAGACTTGCTGCACGTTTTCGCAGTTTTTTACAATATCTTTATTTTTCTGGATGTGTTTCCCCAAACAGAAATCGCATAGTCAATACATGGTTCGATTGTGCTTTTGTATTATGTATGTAGTACGGTATATGATAATCCCATATGTTACCGTAATTTTCGTCTACTGTATCTCCAAACCCAAATATCTTACCGGTATATGTTGTACTTGTTCTATACGTTTTCCGTCGACATAAATAATCAGGACATCATATAAAAGTATACTGTATTCTGGTTTCTAATTTTATAAACTTTTTTTTTTTAATTGCATTTTTTGAACTTATTTCCGACATACAACTTACCAATATTTTCTACAATAGTTTATAAATTGTATTTAATTCATCAACAATTCATCAAGTACTACGAAAAACATCAGCATAAAAAATAAAAATTTGACTCTCAAGACACTAACCTGTATGCCAATTCCGATCTATTTAGGGGTGACATTTTACTATTTGCTTCCTTACAGCGAAGGGCCAAGAAAGGCAGAGGAGGATTTAGGTGGGGGAGCAGAAAGTAAAAGAAAAGAGAAACAAAAAAGAAAGAAAGAAAGAAAGAAAGAAAAGCAATAGGGCGTATTGATCGCCCAAAACTGTTATTTTCGGGCGTCTAGAAAACAAAAATTCGGCGGGCCCCTAGGGTAGTGTTGTCTCGATCGACCCCACTTTTGGCCCATCTTTCGCCCCCCCCCCACTCTATTCGGAAATATCTGGATCCGCCCCTGAAAGTAGTATGAACTTGATATAGCATCAATAAGATCTATATAGGCCACTACATGGTGAAGGCATGTAACAGTTGACTGGTACTTCCTGAAAGCATACTGGTCAACAATTATAAGGTCATTTTCATTGAAACAGAGATGGTCTACAATTATTAGGACTTTGTTGCATTTATCTGCAGATGGATGTAGCCATTGAGACTTTCCAATCGTTTTGACCGTAGTACCTTTAAATAATGATTTATTTATAGGCCTAAGGAACATGAAGATTTCGCGATATAGCGTGATGCAAGCCTTTTTAGTCCCGAAATTATGAACATCAAGGTTACTATTTTCAGATAAATGCCAGATTATTCTCTTTAATACAGAGCGAGATACAAGTACCGTAACATTTAGTGTGTGATTACTTGGGTTTTTTCCATTCTGGCTTGTCTTCTTTATTTGAGTTTCAAATTTCTGTTCCTATATTACTAAAACAATCGCTAAAATTTTTCACAATCAGGATTTGGATGAATATTGTTTGAATTTTGTTTCTCCCTTTAAGTTCATTATTTTTATTCAATAAACGTTTGAGATCTTGTTTATATTGTTTTCAACTGGTAAAAAATAATCTGATTTGGATTCTCGAATTTTCCTTGTGCATTGTTTCTAAGTGAAATATATATTAAAACGTATGTGGTTGCTACATATTTTTATCGGATTAAAAGTGTTTTACATGATCACGGTCATATTGTATAATGATGTCATGTGTAATCCATTTTATTTTATTTAGCTTAAGTACATAAAATTATTATATACAAGATAAGTGTTGACAATTGTTTAATGGTTAATCCGATAAACAAAAAACAAAAAACCATCAATTACGGTAATAAATAAATATCGAATGTGCTTTTTCTTTTAAGAAAGTATAATACATATTCCAAGTATTGAAATACACGCCATCGTGTTGGGATTCAGTATTTCGACATTAATTATGTCATCATTCCTGATGATGACATAATTGTCGAAATATTGAATCCCAACACGATGGCGTGTATTTCAATACTTGGAGTATGTATTATACTTTCTTATCTGAGATTAATCAGTGGACCTTTCGCTTTTTCTTTTGGTCATAATAAGTAGAAATGCTTATTATTGTCAGTCCAGTCAATAGCTGGCTCTTCAAAAATGCCCTCTGAAAACATCTAAAAATTAAACATTAAAGCAAATCGAAAGAATTATTTTCAAAATAGTATTTAAAAAATCGGAGGGTCAGTAAATTTGCATGCGTCAAGTGCCCCAACTGCATACTCTTCACTGAATCGGAACCAGGGCCCCTCACAACTAGTAACACCACTGGTGCTGCCACACCCGCTGCTTTCGTCGGGGACATCAACCCCCCCCCCCCTAAGCAATATCAGATCCCTAGTGGGGCAAACCCTGGCGCCACCCTGGTCTACACTACAGTAAGACCAAAAGTGGGAGACACCTTTCTTTCAGCGGACCCTAGATTTTGATCATGCGAAAAACATATTCAAATTCGCCTCCCTGAGCAGGAAATGGTATAGTCCACATTAAGCTTGTGTTTTTTTTTTATTGTACAGTACACCAAGCAACATGGCTGAGGTTCACGATTTTGATGTCCCCTCATGGTGATAACATTTACATTAATATTTAGCATTTTATTACACTGTAGTTAAATTTAGTTGAAAAAAATAAGCTGCATTGCTGCGTATTTTTTGAATTAAATTTACTTAAATCAAATTGTAGTATGCATTAGATCCAATTATCTAATTACAGCTTACCAGTTCAAGCCTAGGCCCTCCCCTAGCCTAGAGCCTAGCCTAGCTAGACAGCAACAAGCCGCCTATTTATGCCGTAGGCCTATACCCAGTCGGGTGACAGACTAGTGCCTAGCCTAGTATCGGGCTCAAGAGAGCTTGGGCAATTTGGTAGATTCTCCCTGTCCATCTATAAACAGAGTTTTAAAGACCGATCATGTATACAAATTATAAGAGTTAGGCCTAGTAGGGCCTATATATAGTTAATATTTAATAATCTATCTAAAAAATCTATTAATTTTATTAATTATAATTTATTTTAGGCCCAATAGGCCTATATGACGATAAAATATTGTCCAATATCAGATTTTTAAAAAAATCAATGATTGGTTTGGTCACCGTGTTTAAGAAATCATTGTGTTTGTATATAGGCCTAGTAAGGCCTGCGTGGGAAATATTCTCTGCGCATACATTTTGCCCAGAAATCCCTCTGCGAAAAATAAATTCCGATTTCAACGCAGGTTTTGCCAAAAAATAGGCTTTGAACAAATCTTAATATATAATTAATGCAAATATGCAGCAATTATGATTCCGCGCACCTATTTTCCTAACGATTTTTCATGCATATTTGAGCTAATTTTTTAGATATCCTCTGTGCAATTAAAAAACTATACAGTATGGAACCCTTTCACCATTTTTTTTTTTTTTTAAATCCAGCAATTCATGGTTCTTTCATACTACTATCAGACTGTATAGTAAGGGCTGCGTGGGGAATATATCTCCACTTTGGCCTAGAATTCTGTAAAATAAGGGCATATTCATCTTGACCTAATGATGGTGTTTTTTATACAGTATCTATTCTCATCGGCATCCAAACTATAAATTTATATACGCCTATCCAATTCAGGTCAACATTTGTGTAAAATGCGCTGCCACTGCTACTATAATTTGATTCTACATTTGTTTTTATGCATTTACAGGGCTGGCAAACCTCATCCAGGTCTGCACTTAGATGTATTGAAAGATGGAAAGATGATTGAGGTAATAATAATAATGGCAATGGTGTAATACATTTTTAGAAGAGACCACTTGGTTAGTTTTATACCTCCATGGTTGAAACTAGGGGGATGCTTTGTACTGTTAAGCCTTAATAATTTGGTTTACATTCTCATTAGCCATATCCTAATAATGATTTAATTTAGGCAAATGTATTAGAGATAAGCTAATCAACATTTATGGATTTGTTTTCTTATAGAAAATGATGATAGATGAGAAGACATACTATCTATTTGGAAGAAATTCTCAGACGTGTGATTTCGTGATCGATCATGCATCATGTTCTCGCATACACGCTGCTCTTGTCTACCATAAGCACTTGAATCGATCCTTTATCATAGATTTAAATAGTAGTAAGTCTTCTGTGTATGTAACATTTTAATTCCTGTTTCACTGGATAGCTCACTAAGTAAAGAATTATTTATTTGCCATGAGTCCCAGTTAATCTGAATGTGGCTACAGTCAGACTTAACTCAGCCCAGTTGAATGTAAAGCTAGACTGATCTAGTCTAAACCAGTTTGAGTTGCTTCATGCCTGATTTAAAGTTCTCTGATCTCAACCCAGACAAGGTACCCAGACACCTGTTCCTGGTGTCCTGGGTTGACATTCCTACAGTCTCAGTGTACCCTCTGGCTCAAAAGAGCCAATCACAGCCAGCAACAATGATTTGGGCTGCAGTGTTTAATTAACCCACATTTCCGGGAGATCAGCGGTGGTGGGTCGAAGGGTATGGGTGAGGGGTCTGTGCCACCTCAGCCCCACCATGGTTGGAGCTAAGGTGAGAGAATTTATGATTATGGTACCTATAGATGGCCAGAAATGGTCCTCTCAGACTTTACTTTGAATATAATTTCCCTTTTTCCCCCATTTTTTTTAGAATTTTGAAATATTTAGTGGGCCTGGGCCAGCTGCCTCCCTCCCCCCCCCCAACCCACGAATCCGCCACTGATCTGGTTAATGATCTGTCTTAACACACTTAATTTCATTTTGCTGGACATAGTGATGAATCGGCACTGACTTCCATAAGAAAATTGATAATAAATAAAGCAGTGAAAACATGCAAAATTATGAATTAGCAGAGATGGGTTAATTTCTGGGAGATTCTTGCTTGCTTGCGGAAGTGCAGGAGGCCTTCCCGATTTCCGGAAGACTCTCTCGAGTTCCAGGAGACTTGAGACCCCTATATTTATGGTGTAGACATTCAACCTGTTCAAGAGACAGAAATTATCATGCATTCATAATGTTAAATTGTACCTGAATAAAGCGTATGTCATGAAGTTACATTTTGTTAATATCCCCAGCACATGGCACATACCTTGGCAGTATAAGGCTCGAGAGGAAGAAGCCACAGCAAGTCCCGATTGACAGTACAATTAGGTTCGGTGCATCCACACGGACGTACATCTTGCGAGAGAAACCTCAAAACGCAATCACACCTGGTGGAAAAGCTGATCTCTCAGAGCAGCAGTTAGACGAAGAAGAAGTACATGGTGGGTTATTAGGACTTCCAGAAGAAGAAACAGAACTTGCTGTAAGTTAGTGAAGTATAATTAAAATCAGTGGCGACTGTAGGATGGATTTTCTGGGGGCCTAAGCTGCCTGAAGGTGTGGGGGGGGGGTGCGGGGCTGAGTGAGATAAGGGTAACTTTGGCGTGCTTCGCCATCCTTCTAACCGAGCTGGACCCTAATGAGATTTGTTTTTAAAATAGGGACATCTGGACAATGCCGTAGCCAGGATTTTCAGTGTGGGACAATATCTGGGTGGACCCACTTTACGTGTAAATTCAAATAATGGGGACCCATTTTCTTGAAAGTTAACCCATTTTACTCAAAAATACAAAAAATCTGGACCCATTTTTCAAAAAGTGGACTATTTTATGCATAAAATTGCATAATTTGGACCAAGTTTTTTAAATGTAGACCCATTCTTTGTGGACACATTATAAAAAGTATGTGGGACTGTCCCAATAGCTGGCTACGGCATTGCATCTGGATGGCCGGAAATTGATAAAATACAATTGTTACTATACTCTCAAAGTCAACTCAATAAACATGCATTTCATTTCAATAGGCCTATTTTTTTTTTTTTTTTTTGGTCTGACTGCCCGACGAGGGGGCAGCTTTGTCCAATAGGGGTCTTAAGCCCCTCCCAGCTACCCCCCCCCCCCCACAGCACTGCCACTGTTTAAAATACTGTCAATGGACATTTCTACTACACCTAACCCCACCAATTATATAGTTTAGCAAAGGTCACTCAAAATCAGCACAAATGAGTAATAACTATGTAACTGTGTGAAGAACAGTTTTGATTCTGGATTTCTTCTGTTGGAGATCAAATGCAACATCGGCCCCTTGCTTGTATGCTTAGGAAAGGCACTTTATCAATGTTTGTCGCACAACATTTCAAGTGTTTTATTTTTATATAAAATTATAATCAACATTTTTTTTATTGTGAATACAGAATTTGACCGAATTCAACACAGCGCATAATAAACGATTGACAGCGGTCGGGATTGAAGAGTCAGCAGCGACTGAAGCCGCACGTGCTAAGAGGAAACGAAAATACCTGAGCGTTGCATTTAGTGAGGAAGATGAGGTTATTAATCCAGGTACGAAATCTTTGATATTTGTTTAGTGATTTCCAGCAAGTTTAGAAGTAAATTTTCTGTATTCAATTTGAATCATGATATGAAATTTTATGTATCTTCTGAGTTTCAGCCACAGAGGATTAAAGATTTTTTTAAACATGTATTTAGAATAACCATATAGGCCACTCTGAGTCTACTAGGATTTTGTTTGTATTGTAAACTTAATCAAGATGTGCCTCTATTTTTTTATTGCTTTGCTCTCAACCGTTTCTCTTCATTTTGTTTTCAGAGGATATTGATCCCTCAGTAGGTCGGTTCAGAAATCTTGTCCAAACATCAGTTGTTCCTGTTAAGGTATGTGTTATATTATTCTAAAGATCCCTTAACATTGTGAAATATCTTATTTAACATACTGTACTGGCTCTTATCAGTCTCAGCTTACAAATGTCTTAAGTCAAAAAATTATAATGTCCCTAAGCAAATATCTTAAGCTGATATATCAAACCATCAAAATCTTAGCTCAAAAATCGATGGGGCATGCGTACAATCAAATTTTTAATTTTAAGCAATTTTTAAGCTAGGCAATATTGGTAAATTTGACTTAAGTAAAAAAATGGACTTAAGACGAATTTAAGCTGATTTCTAGTTTGATAAATCTGGCCCCTGACACATAGGGTTGTAGCTGTAGAAAACTGACGGTGGGTGAATACATGTTAAGGGGGATAGATGATAACATTAATAATCTGAGAATAATGAGTCGATTGTAATGATGGAGAAGTTTGTTAATAAGGGTGGGTTGAGGACCATGAAATTAGCTTTAGACTGGGCAACTTCAAGGCTGGGTGACCCCGAAGAGCAGCGAAGTCTCCACCATTTTGCGTCTACCACCAGTTTCGCCGACTGAGCTAAGCTCCAACTCACCACTCTCACTGTATTCTGCACAGGAGTTTTCAACTCTGAATGTACATGTAATTTAAACTTCATATCTTTCATATTTTCAGAAGAGGAGGTCAGACAATGTAACATTTTCACAAGAGGGTATAAACAAACGTTTACAAGGTTTTAATTACAACTCCCTGTATTCTGACCTACCACAAGAAGAGACGTCTTCGTCTAATGCCACCACACCGACCTCACCGAAGTACGGGCTCATGAGTTCAACATTGAGTTTTATGCATACTCCAAATTTAGCTCCAGATGTGAACCCAGCACCGAGTGTCATACCACAGGTGGACCCGGTACCGGTGCCAGTTGTTGGACCGCAGGGACCAGCAGAACCAAAGAAAAAGTACTTTCCAAAGGAGGCATGGCCGGGCAAGAAGCCAACACCGTCACTTCTTATTTGATTACGCGGAATTTTGTAAAGCTGTTGATGCAAGTTGAATTGAACTTTGAACTGTAAATATTGTACAGGTTTGCCATTCATACTTCTGCTCTGGTTCCCTGCTTACAATGCCACAAAGATTTCCTTACATCACGATGTCTTCAGTTTAGAAGACTGCTGCTTAGAGACTACCACATAAGGTGTACAAGTACAACATTTTCAACAGTTTTTTAAAGCACTTACCTACAGTATTATTTTATTCCGTGATGTTTATTTAAAATAATGTACTTTGGAGTATAAATAGGAATAGTATTGTGGACATAATGCCCTGTGGCATAGCCAGAACACCTTTTCCTTAAATGGATCCAATATCATTGTACAATTCACAATGAATTTTGTGACAGAAATGGTGAAAGAGCATGAAAAATACAGTAGGCAATGCTCTACACTTTTTTTTAATAATTTGGACTAACAATTACAAATTAAAACAATTTTGATACAAACAAAATTAAGATGAAAATATAAAGATAATAATACCAACTGCCACACCATCCCAACAGAAGGAAACTTTTGTGAAAATTATTTTCATTTAACAAAAATAGTTAAAAAATAAAATATGCTAATAAATATAGTTCAAGATTGAAAGAATAGACAAAGGTTAAATACAGAAAAAAATAACTAATCCATTTGAAAAAAATGTGTTTCTTTGGAATATGGTAGGTGCTATATGAACTGATAATTATTACTGTATTGTGATTTTTTTTATGATTTTGTTATTATAAATCCATATTATTGTTATTATTGTATTATTATTATAATTATTATTATTTTTATTATTATTATTATTATTATTATTATTATTATTATTATTATTATTATTATTGCAAATCAGTTTTAGTGAATATTCTCTAGTTGTAGTTCTTAAACTTGCCACTAAACCTGACCAATCTTTGTTAGTTGCTTCTAATTGGACCAGAAGCTGTAACATTGCTTTTTCACTTCAATCCTTATTAGATCATGTATGTATTGTTATGTAGGCCTACTGTAGTATATTTTGATAAAATTACGGAAGACTCTTGCTTTCTAATCATAGGGTCAGTTTTTTTTTCCTCGTGATTTCAGACTACTCCTCCTGCCTAGCTTTTTTTTTTTAGCTTTAGACCTTTGTGAGTTTTCGTGTACTGTACTAAATACATGGACTTACCACAGGAGTCCCTTGTGTTTTTTTTCTCATCCTGGACAGCGCCACCAACGAGTAAGAAAGAAATCGAGTATGGGATGGGATGTCAATTTAATTTGGTATGGCGCGCAATAAAAAGTGAGTAACCCAAATTTAGCGCCTGGAAGACAGATTATTAGGTGCTGAACTTACTTAGCATTTGAGTTGCTATTTTATAATAACTTTGGCTTCACCATAAAGGTTTTTCTTATTATTTATTTACTTGTAACTTATACTACATTTTTGTTATACCAGGTACAGCAAGAAACAAGGCCATAAAATTAATCTTTAAAAAGGGTCCTGTTATGAGAGAAAGAGTCCCAAATTTCACCTCATAACTAACCTTAAACTATGTGTAAACCCATCGTCATTCACATTAACATGAAAAATAAAAAAAATTAAAACTAAAAACAAAGATGATGATGATGATGTTAATAGTAATAATAATAAAATGTATGTAATATGTCCATATATGGGCATGATGATGTCATATACCCATTTAAAGGCAAATTTTTTAACACAGAAAATTTGATAGTGTGGTAAACAGTGGCGGGGCCCAAGGGCAGGCGCGGATCCCCCTCAATTTTTGAAGTGCCCCTTTTTTACCTGATGATAAAACGCAAACTACTGTAAAAATAAATAACTTAAAACATAAGTATTTAAATTTTTTTTAAAAATTTATGATGAATAATCAATTATTCAACGAAAGGAATATATTGACATCTGGTGTTAAGTACGTCTATTTCAAACAGAGTGCATTTATTTTATTTCTGCCAGGACGTCACTTGCCCGATGTCCCCGACGACGATACCATAAGTGGGCGCGTGGTCGGATGTCGCTCAAAAATGAAGATTGGCCTACTGTATCGTATTACGAGTGTTAAATTATTATTTTCATTATTATTAATAGTTTCCATTGTTATTGATATTGATCTTATTTTTTATCTAAACCCTCTGTACATCTCCGATAAAACTATTTGTTTTACATCACGTCCTGCCCCTGTTGCTACACCATCCGTGGTGCCCTTTTTTTCCTGGACTGCCCCTTTTTTTCTGGACCCCCCTTGTGTAAATGTCTAGATCTGCCCCTGAAGGGGACACAATATGTCGGGGAGAAAAATAAATTATATGTATTTTCGACATATTTATAGATTGTAGAATCGATTAAATAAGCCTTTGAAACCCCTAAATTGTCATATTTTTGTTGGAGGGGCGCTTCGTCCACTGGACCACTTTCAATAGATTTTGAGCGACGCCCGACCACGCCCACTTTTTTCTCGTCAGGGACATCAGCGACCCCTCCCCCCCCCCCGTCTGACACCTTTGATCCCTATCGGAAAAATCATGGCACCGCCCCTGGTGGTAAATCTTTCAAACTCTACCAATACAATCAAGTTTGAAAGTTTGTAACACATTTCCTCATACATGTTTATGTGATAAAAAGTGTCATATGCCCGTATTCGGGAATCGTGTGTAATATGACATCATCATACCCATACAGTATTTGGGCACATCACAATTTTCATAAATTGTATATTGTTTCAAAAATAAATCATGTTCTTCAATATTTCGAATGTTGTGATTTTATTGGTACTGTATCTGTTTTTATTGTGTTGTGGGGAAGGCCTTACTATTATTAGCAACTACTTGGTCTCTCCTGGGCTATGGCAGTTGGTCTTTTTCTTTTCTTTTTTTTTCAATGTTTGTTTTTTCTAATGTAATGTTTTGAAATATTATTGTACTTTTATGCCCGAACTATTATAACAAATTAATAAAATAAATGAAATTTGATATTGTGAACTGGGTATTAGTAGGCCTACCAGAACTGGCATTACAATTTGAAATAAGCACTCAATGTTAACTGGTATCAAAATATAACACTTTGGCCACGAGCTAGCCATGCTGCTTTAGCTCGTGAAATGTTTTGTCTCGTGAACATGTGGTATTTATATAGAATATTGTTAACATGTTATGGTTAGTAATGAATGATTGCAATACTGTATTGTGTTTGCAGTGGCTCGGTTACAGCCGCATATCTAGGTGGCGGGGCATTTCTCTTTAAAAAAATTGCTTCTCCATTGAAAAAAAAAAACATGCTCCAAGTGGATAAGAATCGCCTTAGTTTGCGAGCTAGGTTCACTCAATCATCGAGCCCAGGAGCGGATCTAGTAGGGGTAACATGCCCCCTCCCCTGGTTTTGATACTAATTTTTTAAATTTTAATGCATATATTGAAATTAGCGCTACACACTTATTTATTCTGGACATGTTGTGCTCCCCGTTTCTCTAAGTGGCCCTAATTTTCCTTTTTGTTAAGATGCGGCATGTTTTATTCTCAGTTAACCTTGAAGATTCAGCTGATGATTTGTTTAAGGGCATAAATATTATGGGGTTTTTTCATTTTATATTTTCCCACAATCTTATTTCATCTTTTAATTGGTTTGATAAATCTGTTTTTAATACCAAGACTAAGAATAGATGAATTGATTCTTCCCTAACCATCGTAAAATGATCTTGAAACCACATTGTTGTAAGGGTGGGGGGGGGGCCGACAGTAG